CTGTTGCCGAAGAAATGATGGATTTCGTTAGGCTTAATTGGTTGCGTCTGTGCTGATGTATAATTATCTTTGATTATTGTTGTGCAGGTTCTGAGGTGGGTTAGCTCCAAGGGTGCGCTTGCGGTGCTGTGAGAGAAGTCTTGCATTGTCACCGGCGTGAAAGATGTGCTTCTATCCTTATGACAGGTCTTCTTCATCGTCCCATTAGTCATTGAGCTTTGGCCTCGTTTGGATATTGTCGTGATGTTACTTAATGCAAAGTTTGGTTATGCATGTTGTTACTGAAGCTTGAAACAGGTGCCGCTGCTGTCCTAAACAGACAAAACACTGCCGCTTCAGAATCCACGAGTTGGGATGCTCTGATGAGAATTCGGTCGAGAGGCTGGCGCGAAGGGTAAGGTCACATGATGTTCAATCCTGTTTTATTCCCTTCTCAATATTGCCTCTGGTCATCGCAAGAATGGTATCAACTTTATTTCATGTAGTTTTGAAGTCATGAAAAGAAGATTCCAAATTGAGATTTTGATTTGCTTGTTGACCAAAGTTCTGGCATTCATCTCTTTTTCAGGCTTTTGTGTCTGTTTCGAGAGGCGAGTACACGAGGTAGTTGCTCTTCAAGACGGTACCACCGTGAATGCGTTCTCTATTCAGATATGTTATGGATGTTGCACTCATGGTGACTTGAATTTTATGTAGGACAAGTGGTATCGACGAAGATTACATCAACGTTATGGCTCCGAAGATTGGAACTTGACGATAAACCGTAGTCAGAGAGGGAGTTTGTACCATGTATTGTTGGGAAATGCTATGAACACAGTGTAGTTAATTTGGGCAAGGTTGTAGCAAGATAATTAAATTGTTTTATGGTTGGATGACTTTGAGGGATATTGCAATTTGTATGAGGTTAAATTGTAATGTATATAGCCGCGTCATATGGTATGCGAATAGTAGTCTTGCATTTGGAGATTATTTTCATCTTATAAATACAAGAGTCTTATTCTTAAATTTGAACATTTAAAGGGTGGACTCAGAATCATTGCTTGTAGCCTTGGAGCTTTTGATGACTGAACTTGAACTTAGACTCTTCTTGAAAATCAAGTTTTGGAAGGAAATTCTGACAAGTACTTGGAATAGCATGCTTCGGTTTAACTTGGATTTCAAATGCTCATCGGTATTCTAAGTAATCATAAGTGTGAACCTTAATTTCAACACTAATAAAAAATTGCCTGCAAATCGGTTTTCCATGCTTGAAGTCTTAAATGGTCATGAATTCACTATAAGAACCAATCTTAAACATAAGAATGTACTATCAAACCAAGTATTCTCACATATCCATTGTTGACCTCCATCATGATTTAATTTTGTTGAAACTCCCTTAATGGCTTCGGGTCAAGCTTAGAACTTTGAAGTCTTATATATGCAAGAGCTCTTGTAACCTGATTTATAGACTTTTAACCACTCTTGGAATATGGAAAAGGTGTTGTAGCTTGACATGGGTATATGAAGAATTTATATGCATTGGACTTGAGAACTGACTTGAAATTAATAGTTCCACCGTGATTGTATTTCGAAAATAAGGAACCCTTGCAGACCGACAATTTTTAACTTATCCAAAATGAGTCAAATAAACTTCAAGAAGCCACGAACCAAGTTTGAATACCACAAACCAAATCAACCCACTTTGTCACCTTGATCTCGGTAAGAACTCAAATTCAACCTTTATCTGAGTAGAGCCTTGTCCTCGACGTCCCAATTTCAAAGTGTCTTTGAATGAGAGAATGAGCAATATGCGTTCGAAATTGTCGCACATGCACAACTCGTTTAGTCGTAATAAACATACATATAAAAAGGTAAAATGAAACAAACAATAAAACAAGGAGATGGGATTTTATGGTCAAAAATTAGGGTGCAACAGATGCCCCTATTTAAGTTACTCCTATTCGGAGATATGGAGATTGAAATCTCCGTCTCGACGAGGTAGGAGGGACTTAAATACAAACATGGCGCGAATTTTTGGCCTTAAGAAACCACCGAATGCAAATGATATACAATGATATGAGAATGCAAGACGAAAGGTCCTGTGGAGAAATGGCGCTACAGGGGAGAAACTAAACACGACACACGGGAAGAACAGGCTCAACAAAACGAGACTCCACGGGGAAAGATTGACAGTCACAATGTTTGTAAGTATGTTGTGAAGAACATGGAAGGGAAATCCTCTTGAGGAATCTACTGTATATGTCCAATGTAATGATTTCATGATGTCAGCTGGTGAAGTCTAATGTCGAGACTTGTAACTGTAATTGAGAATACTTTTGCCAAAGTATTTACTGTTACCATCTGTAAGGAATCTACTGCCGAGACCCTGTGTTGAAGTCTGTTGGAGAAATACCTCTGACGAAGTCTTCTGGGAATCTACTGCCGGGATTAACCAGGAAATGAAATAGAACTACATACTGCCGAGGTTTTCTGGAAATCTACTGCCGAGATTAACCAGGAAATGTAAGATGTTCGAATGATTGTTGAAAAGGATGAAAAACCTCCCGAGCGTCATAGTATGGGAACCATGAGCTGGTCTCAGTCTCTGATGTAGAACCTGTAACACCCCACTTCCCAAATTAAATAAAATATAAACATTATAAATAAACATCAGAGTTTTCACCAAAATAGTGGGATATCACATCACCAAATTTTTATAAAAATACTTTATTAATTATTCCCAAAAATAATACAGCGGAAAACATTATTCCAACATTCTCGGCCATCCGCCAAATTTCATAAAATCTTTATTATTATAATTCACAAAAAAAGTGATACGTCACAGGATTACAACAAGTTTGACATAAAACAATTAAAACACCCATATCTCGTGTTACGTATCAGAGCATCCTAGACTCGACTAGCACACAACCATCCAAGCTATCTAAGTACCTGGATTATCTGTACTTCCGGAGAAGCACAGACACAACAACAACCAAGGGGTGAGAAAACATGATCAAAAATATATTGGTAATGTAATACATGTAAACAAGGTAGTAAAACACACCAACACACCAATATTCACCCCAACAACTCCATATAACGAACCTACTGTTCAAATTACAATATAACATATTATAATGCAAATATGCAACTCAACACCATGCATGCGGTACCGACTCATTGGTTCATTCAATCGAACCTGGATAGATCACTTACGCTCCTCCTGAGACATGATCTATCCCCCACCATTCTCCACAAAGGAGTACGGATGAATCACTTACGCTCCTCCTGAGACATGATTCATCCCACCAAAACACCATGATATGCACACACCAATGCATAACTATCATAATCAGTGTTTTAAAAACCGGACCGAACCGGCCGGTCAGACCGGTTGAACCGGGAACCGGCCTAGTAACCGGTCTGGTTCACTAATTGGATCGTCCGTGTCATCCAACCGGCGAAAACCGGTAAAACCCAGGTTGAACCGGGTAAAATCGAAAACCGGAAACCGCCGGTTCAAATGTATTTTTTATTTTTTTAATTAAAATTTAATTATAAAAATTTAAAAAAAAAATTATTATAATTGTTTTGATCCAAAACGCAGAATAGTTGCAGAGTGAGTAAAAACACGGTGAAAAAGTACTTATCTTCTCCACGCCGCACGCAGACCACCAATGCAAGCAGACAACCATCATCGGCCGTTTCTTTCTCCACCACCGCGCCTTCATCTTTCTCCACACCGCACGACGGTTGTTATCACTTATCTTCTCTACATCACCAACTTCAAGTTCGTTCTCTCCGCCGCAATATACCAACGACTCGTCATTCCGGTTTCTGCATCGTTTCAATTTTCCAGGTTCAATACTCTTCTCTGTTTTCATTTAACTTTGTTATGTTGAAATTATTGAAGATTAAATTAGGGTTAGTTCAAGATATATGATTATTGGCTTTGTATTTGAGAACTGAACCATCCGGATTTTGCTTAATCCTAAATACCCAAGTTTGATTGTTTTCATATTACACAGGATTTTGCAAAGACACATTTCACCTACTGTGCATGAAAAATTGATTTCATATTACATAAATTATAAATAATTAGTATAAACCAAATGACTTGTGTTAATACCCAGGTGTGATTGTTTTCATATTACACAGGATTTTGCAAAGACACATTTCACTTACTGTGCATGGAAAATTGATTTCATATTACATAAATTATAAATAATTAGTATAAACCAAATGACTCGTGTTCCTTGTTTATTTAAAAAGAATACCCTGCAGTGGAGGTTTAAGTTTGCTTAAATTCAATATTAAATTTGTAAGATTGATATGAAAAAATAAAACTGACAAAATAGTTTGTACAGTCAAAAGTTAGATGAAGTGATTTCAATTTTCATGGAAGCAATAAATGAGTGAAAGCTAAAATGATATCTAACTTAAATTCAGATGAAAAATGAGGGAAGAAAAGTAGAAACACTTGCAAGAATTATAGCTAGACATATTATTCTTCAATGTATAACTTGCTGCTATGTTTCATATTATTGGGAGGAATTGTTACATACACAACTCATGCTATTGAAATTCCACCAAATGTTTCATTTCCAGCAGTGTTTGCTTTTGGAGATTCAATCCTGGATACAGGTAACAACAATAATAACATGAAAACACTTGCTAAGTGCAGTTTTCCTCCATATGCATACTCAAGGTGCACTATCCATTATTTCAATTGTATATTAGATATTTCCTCTGCTGTGAATAAAATCTCTGCTGTGCATTTTCCATTTACTAGGGATAATATTCTGTTTTTCTCACCCGATGCTGGCAGTTGCCGCAAACTACGAATGTTTGAGAATGACTAAACACAGTATGATTGAGAATGTTGTGATGCTAATTAACAATTCAACCATTACGTTTGAGAACGGTGTGATGCTAATATGAACGGTTTTGATGCTAATACGTGAGACTAAAGTGTATTTTAATGTAGCAATTTTGAACTGTTTTACTTTTACAGGAAAATGGCATCTTCTGAAACACCATCATCACAACCACCATCACAAGAAGCTTCTTCAACTCCTAATTTAGTTCAACATAATGTTAGACAAAAGACTGATATAGCTTGGGCACATTGTACTAAAAGTCCTGATGGAAAAAATCTTGTTTGTATCTACTGTCACAAAGCGTTTGGTGGAGGTGGAATTCACAGGGTAAAGCAACACTTGGCTGGAGTAGTAGGAAATGTTGAAATTTGTAAGTCAGTTCCTACAGAAATTCGTTTTCGGATAAATCAACATCTTAATGAGCGGAGCAAGAAAAGAAAAACTCCAGATGTGGCTGAAAGTGAGTCATTTTCTGCAGAGGGGGGTGAATTGCAAATGCAAATGCACCCACGAATTGGTGCATCTAAAAAGAATGATGCTCGCATTGGTACTTATTTTTTACCCAGAACAACTCCGGGAGCTCAACCTACTTTAAAAAGTGTGATGCAAAGTAAAGAAGTGGTAGAAAAGTGTGACCTTGCTATTGCGAAGTGGTTTATTGATGCGTCTATTCCTTTCAATGCTGCAAATTCGCCTTATTTTCAACCAGCAGTTGATGCTCTTTGTTGCATGGGTGCTGGATACAAAGTTCCTACTATGCATGCTCTTCGTGGTAATTTGTTAAATAAGTGGGTTGATGACGTGAAGATACAGCTAGAGCAATATCGTTCTATTTGGAAGGATACAGGTTGTACTCTTATGGCAGATGGGTGGACTGATCGTTATAGAAGAACTCTTATCAACTTTTTAGTTTATTGCCCCAAAGGAACTGTTTTCATAAAGTCTGTTGATGCCTCTGGTGCTTCTAAAACTGCAGACACATTGTTTAAGCTTTTCAAGGAAGTAGTGTTGTATGTTGGCCCAGAAAACGTTGTTCAAATCGTTACAGATAATGCTGCAAATTATGTTGCTGCTGGAAAGTTGTTGGAAAAGGAGTTTCCTAAGTTGTATTGGTCTCCTTGTGCAGCACACTGTATTAATTTGATGTTGCAAGACATGGGGAAATTAGAGGAAGTAAGTGGGGCAGTGTCACATGCTTCAAAAATTACCAAATACATATATAATCATTGTTTTGCATTGTATTTGATGAGACAAAATACAGGTGGAAGAGAAATACTTCGTCCTACTCCAACCCGCTTTGCTACTAATTTTATTGCATTGCAAAGTATTTTGTCTCATAAAGATGCACTAAGATCCATGGTAACTTCCAAAGAGTGGACAACTACAACTTATTCCAAAGATGTAAAGGCAAAGCAATTTGTGGAACAAGTATTAGACTCAAGCTTTTGGTCTACATGTGTTGACATAGTGAAAATTACAGAACCTCTTGTACGTGTGTTGCGTATTGTTGATAGTGAAGATAAACCGGCTATGGGATATCTCTATCGAGCTATGTATAAAGCAAGGGAGGAGATTGAGAAGAGGTTTAGAAGAAATAAGCTGAAAGTAGAGCCTTATTTGAGGATCTTAGATAACCGTTGGGATGCACAACTTCGCAAAAATCTTCATGCTGCTGGTTATTGGTTAAATCCATCTTGTAGATTCAGTCAAGAATATGAAAAACACAAGTCTACTACCCAAGGCCTTTTGGATGTCATTGAAAAGTATGCTTATGATAGTAAGGAATTGCGAACTAAATTAACTGTTGAGATGAGTTTATTCAAAAATTGTGAAGGTAGTTTTGGAAGGACAACGGCTGTAGAAAATCGAGATGAAGTTTTGCCAGGTAAAATTAGATGATAAACTTTATGCATTTTATTATAATTTCAATATGAATTTTAAAATGTTTTCTAATTTTTTCACACGCACTATTCTAGATCAATGGTGGGAAACTTATGGAACCGAAGCGCCCAGTTTGCAAAAGTTGGCTATTCAAATTTTAAGCCAAACTTGCAGTGCATCTGGTTGTGAACGAAATTGGAGCGTATTTGAGCACATTCATTCAAAAAAAAGAAATAGGTTGGAGCATCAAAAGCTTAATGATCTTGTCTTTGTTCGTTACAACCTACGACTACAAAACAGGTATTGCACTTATTATGTTGTATATGCTATTGCTTATATACTTATGTTGTTTGCTTTATTATGCTTGATATGTAAAAACTTGTTAATTTGTTTTTCTATCTCAAAAAATAGTACTGAGATTTGAAAACATTTAGTACAATGTTAATATATATTTTATATTATTAATTTTTAAGCTAGTTAAGTTAGTTATATACTACTAGTTTTTAAGAATATTAATGAGTTTTATGTTTGACATTATCGTTAATGATTTATAGAAACAAGAAGAAACAAAATTATGATCCTATCAATTTTGAAATACTTGGTGATCATTCTGATTGGGTGTTGGAGGATTCACCACCATTCTTAACCATTGAGGAGGTGGAAGCACTGCGCAAAGATCTTGCTAGTATGACAATTCAACCTATGTCAGATGATATCGGTATGATATTAGTTATTCTGATAACAATTTTGTTACTTTAATTTATTAGTTATTATTATATGTTAATTGTTTAACTCTCTAATTTATTTGTTGTTACAGATCAATTAAATTTGGATGAGGTTGATGTCGAGGATGATGAACAACTTAATTCTGGAGAAAACAATCAAAATAATAATATCATTGATGGGGAAAATGTTGCAAATGCGATTGATTTTACTGCAGATGGTTTTGATATTGAAGAAGGAGATCCCAATATTGAAATAATTTTACCTCCTTGGAACTAAACTTAAGCAGACATTGAAGTTATTTTGTTATAAATTATTCAATTATATTATGTTGCAATTAGATTTTGTAATTTTGTATTACTTTGTTATGTGTGATACATTTGTTTAAAATTTGAATTTAAATTATGAGCTTGTTATATTTAAATTATGTATGATATTTTCAAAAAATTTAAGTAGTAGTTATATTATTTTAGAAAGCGAATCATCCGGTTCGACCGGTTTTATATTTATATAATGACAGGTCTATTCAACCGAGTTATCCGGTTTAATCCGGTTTAGTCATGCGGTTCGACCAGTGACCCAGTGGTTCGACCGATAAACCAGTGACCCAGTACCCTCACCGGTTCGATGACCGGTCCGGTTTTTAAAACATTGATCATAATTAGGCACTCAAAGTGCACACGATCCTCCTGATCATATCATCATACATCAATGCATATAAGTACAGATATAACATACACCAACACCGTATAGATTAATCAAATAGTAAACAACTTCATACTATAACACCAGATATAACCACATCCCAACACTCGGGAACGCACGATCCTACTGATCACTACATATATATACATTAACTAATTGTTCACCAACAATATCAAGGAAAACGAGTACCATCACCAAGTAAACAAGTTCATACTTTATCACCAAGATATAAACACGTCCCACCACTCGGGAATACACGATCCTACTGATCACTACACCATGCTCTGCATGATTCATACACCAACTAATTATCCATTTAAATAATTAGTAACGGAAATCACATACTATCACCGAGTACTCACTCTATACCACTCAATCATCTCCCCTATAATCAACAAAGTCCAAGGGCACTACACTCTTAGCGCACACAACATAACAGCACCTACTGGACTCACTCGCTAGGCGAGCACCTAGCGAACGCTCGCTGCCTTCTCTCTAAGCGAAGTGCTAGCGAGTTGCCTGCGACTTCTCAAGTTCTCACAGTTTAGAACGCTCACTCTTCTCCGATTCAAGCCTATTCTATAACATCCACTTCCTATACTATCCGTATTACGACCAATGCATATTAGGCTTATCAATCTTCCTATAATTCTACTCCAGATCAACATTACGGCACACTACCGGCACTTTAGAGTTACTCTGAACCTTACTCAAACCAAACCAACACCAACAGTCAATCAACAATGGCAACATCAAAACATACGTACATCATCATATACATATTATTCCAAAGTCATCACTTAAACAATCTATCGACACATCAAAAAGGTCACACAGAACTTCCCTAAAACCGTAAACCCAACCTATACGCCAAATTAACCAAAAACAACAATTCACCAACCATCAACATATTTCAATCCATTAACATCAACATAACTCAACAATCAATAGCATGTCAATATAAAACTTCATCAACGATACATTTCTACGGGTTAAGGAATCCCCACTACCCTATACATGTATATACCATTCCCAATCAAGTTTCTCCCCCCTTACCTTGTTAATCGGTTGATCGATGAAATTCTTCCTGGATTTGGTCTCTTGGCCTCCTCTTTTCTTTCCGTTCTTCGTTCCCTTTTTCCTTCGTTCTTCTCACTTCTCTCGTTCTTTCCTCTTCTCTCTTTCTATCGCTCTTTCTCTCTTCCCTCTTTCTATCGTGTTATTTTCTCTAATACTTCCTCCACCCCTTCATATTCTATTTTCCTTTTTATTTCCTATCCCAATAATAATAATAACTAATAAAAATAACATAATAATAATAATAATAATAATAATAATAATAATAATAATATTATCACACCAATTTCCCACGATCTATGATAATCCTTTTTCTCTCTATTCCAACTTTTCTAATATCTCCTTGCTACCTCTTCATATTTCCTTCCTCACGGTTTCTATCATGACTTTTCATATTTCCATTCTAACTTCCCAATAACACTTCCACCTCTTATTTTACTTATTCCAACCACTAATATTCCCAATAATAATTCTAATATAATAATTATAATAATTATAATAATAATAATAATAATAATATAATATAATACTATTATAATATTATAGTAATATTCAACATAATAATAATAATAGTAATACACCCAACAATAATTATAATTATAATAATAATAATACTAATGATAATAATAACAATTATATTAATACTAATAATAAAATAATATTAATAATAATAATCTTAATATTAATAATACTAATATAATATTATTAATATTAATAATACTAATCATAATAATACTATTAATAATAATAATAATAATAATAATAATAATAATAATAATAATAATATTATTATTATCTCACCAAAATAATAATAATAATAATAATAATAATAGTAATAATATTATTATCTCACCAAAATAATAATAATATTAATAATACTAATAAATATAATAATATATAATAATAATACCCCCACCAATATTACTATTATTCATTATATTATCATATTCACACCAAAAATCATAATAATATAATAACTACATTAATAATAATATTATATTCTCCATATTAATAATACTACTACAAATATTAATAATAATCATAAATATAATAATAATAATAATAATAATAATAATAATAATAATAATAATAATAATAATAATAATAATACCACCACCAATATTACTATTATTTCTTATATTATTATAAACTCACCAAATTACCACCAATGATCCTCCCATCTCAGGGACACCCACCAAACATCATCAAATACACCCTACCAAAGGGCACATCAACATATAATATTTAAAATAATAATAAAATGACTAAATTATTAAAATGGGTGTTACAACTCTCCCCCACTTTTATTATTTTCGTCCTCGAAAATTACTTGATGGAAATAATTCCGGATACGCTCCCCGCATCCTTTATTCCAATTCTCAGGTCACACTGCCTTCTGCAGCACCTCCCCATACTACTTTCACCAAAGATATCTCCTCCCTTCGGAGTTGTTCCTCGCTCGCCAAAACGAACTAGCAATGCCTCAACAATCGGAATATTTTTCACTTGTACATCATCCACCTGGTTCAATGTACTTTCTCGACTAAGACACATGAAACATATCATGCCAATTCACAGCGACAATGGAAAAACAGTCTAACATGTTACTCCTCCCATGCCTCCGTTGCGTCACTCTGATACAACTACAGAACACGGTGCGAACTTCTGAGATTTCGAAGCTCGACCAACACCAGTCACCGGCGTGACTCTCAAAACACATATTGCCTCGGATCCTCTCGATCTTCTCAGCCATCTCAAGCATAATTTTCAAGTCTGAGTACAACACTCTCACTCGATTTATTTCAACACAGGAGAGTCCTACACTCCCTATCTCACCAAGCCACATATAGTGCCATTCCGACACTAGGATGGTAACCGTTATTATAGGTAACTCAATCAACGATACTTAATCATCCCACGCTCCACCTTGATCCGACACCCAAGCTCTCACCAATTCTCTACAGACTCAATAGTCCTCTCTGACTGACCATCAGTTTGCGGATGGTAGGTCGAACTCAGCTTCAACTTAGTACCCGAAGCTTCCTGTAAGCCCCTCCAAAATCTCAATATAAACCTCAAATTTCCATCTGACACAATATTCGTCAGTATCTCATCCAACTTCACCACTTTCTCAATATGCATCTCGTATATCCTCAACACGGAATAGTTAATCCACTCATAACAATTCAAATTAAATTTATGTCTTTACAAATTCTTTGGAAATCTCAACACCAATTTCGTGAAAATACTACCTGATTTCCACTCTGGAATATTTAACGACTGCATCAGACTCAACAATCTCTGATGTTCACTCTTCGAATACCTACAATTCTAACCAGCATATTCCACCTCAACTACTCCTCCCCTTATCCATGGTCTCCAAAACAATCTACTCAAATTCGGTTACTTCTTCATAGCACCGTGACGGATACTCCATCTACCTCAATGTATTTCTTCACGAGTACTCCTACTCCCCTCAACAACATCTGGTACACATACCCTATCATAACACATCATGGTACTATTTCCACAAACCCGACAATCCACTCTTCGACTCTAATTTATTAATTTTAACTAATTCACTACTCAACCCAGGTTTCTGACTTTCTCGATTCTGCTCAAGGATATCACTATTCAGATCTTAATAATAAAAGCTTAACTCCATAAGAAGTCTCCTTACTCACAAAACTCATATTATGAAATTGCTCAATTAGTTTTAACTCTTTTCACCATCATCTTCGGTATATGCAAATATTTCTAACTCACTGCATCATCTACCATGTCCGCTTTACCCGAATGGTAATTCAACTCGAAGTCGTACTCTTTTCGAAGTCCCAATTATTTCCTATGCCTCATATTCGTCTTATTCAAATTAAACAAACACCTTAAACTCTTAAGATCACCAAATATCTCTGATCTCAGTCTGAACTTTTGAAGACTCCGACTCCGGTACAATCACAATAGTAACCAACTCTAAATCACTGGTCGGATGATTTCTCTTATACACTTCAAGTTGCCTTTTGCATAATTGAAACTCGCTGAAGTTTTCTTTAGCAAATCCCCTAATTATATCAACAAGCATCACAAACACCACAATTAGTTCTATCGGATTCGGCAGAACTTTCCTTACGGAAGTATATCACCGCTCTTTTTCCAACACTGATAACTCCAGTTCCTTATGCTCAACATAATCCTCTATACTCTTCGAATACCTTAAAATATCATTTATTAACACAACCATTGCCTTATATAAATAATTAAAGAAGATCCCATGCCAAGTGGACAAACAAGTTGTGAGTTATAGCGGGAACACATACCGTATCGCCCGTCCTTACCACAACATTCAAACACACTTCATCAATAAATAGATTAAATCTATGTCAATAATTCACCATCTCATAGATAATTTGAATAGCTTTCCAACGCTTCGAACCGCGCGTCATTCCGAGTTACGGTTCTCCCGTTACGGCAAAAACACCAGAATAACATTTTTTTGC